AGACGCAAACCGTGAATTTTTTTTATTTTTTAAAAGTTTTATTTCTTCTTGTGCAAAACCAAGTAACTAGTCCAATGTCGAGTGGGCAGTGAGTGTTGCATGTTGGCCAGTGTAGACAGGGTAGTTGACAACAACACCAACCATAATGACATTGCTCTTGTATGTGCATGACTGCTTGCTTTCACTTTCTTTTTTTGTGGTGCCATCCATGCAACGTCAACATATTTGTTTGCTTCTAGACCAGGCAGACACAGTGGGTTGGTCAAAGACCATGATTGAGATACGAGAGGTACCTGGTTCAAATCCCGCCTGGGAGCGGTTTTTCCAGCCGTGCTGCTACCCACAGTCAACTGGGAACTTGTGGCCAGGCACAAGGGGTACATGGATGCAGCTAATAGGGTCGTTCTCAGCACTTGTGCCAGTGGTTGTGAGACTTATCCACTCACCCCCACCGTTAGGCGCTGCATCTGCCGCTAGGGTTTATCGGGTGTTAGCGGCCGTCGTGAGTTCCCTTTGGGAACGGATACGATAATTTACTTCTTTTTTTCATACTAGGTTTTACACTCCATTTCTCTAATAAAATCGTCTTCCATACGGTAGATTGGGAAGTTTAGCTCTGCTCTTTCTAACCGGCATTGGCTACACTTGTTCCCGCTCATTACAAGTCAGCTATGGCTCCTCATAAGCCAGCTGCTGTCCATTGCTTGGTATTTCACTTCACAACTATTGTAAGTGTGTTGCGGGGATTCCCGAGCTAGTTCCAGGCAGCAGTGTGGCGTTGCTTTCAAGCTTGTTGAACATTTGCATGGCAATTCAAGTTACTCAAAGCAGCACACTATCTCCCCAAAAAGGTCGTTTTTGTCTGTGATAAGCTCGAAGGCATTAGGGATAGGGCAAGAACTTACTACCTTCGCTAAGCTTCATTGCGTTTTTAGTGTTCTTGTCATGATATTTCTGTCGGTATTAGACATACATGTCAGTGATCTATCCCCTACATAGGGTAGCCGAGTTGTCGTCCATTGCTCTGACAGGCTTTTGAACCTCCAAAAAGCGTGGAGTTCTTTGAAAAAATCGGCGAAGCAGAACCGTTTCTCGACAGGATGTCACCAGAACACAACCCCAGGCGTGCGCGCATGACACCAAAGTACGAAAGTGAGAAACAGTTTGAAATACCGCTGGCTCGAAGAAGTATCCAGGAGCCGGCCAGCGCTCAGGCACTGCTGTACTAGCACGAGTCGATGGTGCGCATCCGCACACAACCGAAATCAATGCACTTTTGTTTGCAGCGCAGGGGAAATCAAAAATGTTCGACATTCATGTTGTCATGCAGTCGGCGCAAAATCCTGATCTCAACCTCGACGACTTGGCGTTCTTCCACAGCCTGTAGACAGCCGTATCACTCGTGGCTAAGGAAACCTAAAAGGAGCTTCTGCAGGGTGTGGAAACGTTCTGGCACGAATACACCCCTGCGAAGATGGGGAGCGTTTGTTTGGGTCTGTATGGCTCCTTCCATGGCGTTCCGGAGAGTGGCCACAACTACCAGCGCCACCGTGGAGGTCATCAAGCTCACAGTTCGAGCGAAGAACTTGGCGATCTCCACGATCAAATCGTGTCTTGGCAATTTGTAAATGCTGCGGTACAAAAGCTGGCAGCGCTGGAGGTGAAAGTCAGTGAGGCTCCAGACTCGATGTCATCAGTGAGTGTAAGTCGTCATCGAAGAGTGAAACTGGACGGCTTTGAAACGAGCTGTGTTTCATCTGTCATTATATATCTTTCATATGCTGCTTTTTTCCACTTTGCAAAGCGTGTTCGTAGCCATAGAATGATTTGGACTGAACTATAAAAACGCAACGAAGTTTTGCTTACGCCCAATCCTCTGCTGCCAACGGCAGGCAATTCAAAAGCACAGCACGGATGCCTGGAATGAACAAAAAACTGGTGCTACATTGGCATACCCGAGTGTTCTCCCAATGTGGCTTGGTAGATTGGTTTTGTTCAGGACAAGAAAGTACGCCACTGGAAATTGAACCAACCAAGTTTGGCTGAGACTTCTTCATGCAGATTTACACAAACCACCAGTATTGTACGGGTTACGCACAAAGACATGACTGATTGTGCTGTTCAACTATCTTACCTGCCACTGGAAGTGTAACATTATGCAGGTGTACAAAGTGCCAAAGAATTCCAATCTAGCAGCCGGTTGCTTTGCAGAACCATAAGTGTGTTCAGTGCGATTTCACATGAAAACATACACCAAATCTCATCAAGACACTGGACTTATAAGTATTTTTGAGGTGACCCAAGGAACTCAATAGTGTTGTCTAGGCTGTGTTGGCTGTCGACACGGATTTCATCAGCACAGAGTCTGGCTGGTTGGGTGACCTGGAGCCGGTTATCGGTGATGTCCTCAACGGATGGGCTCTGAAGGTAAACCCGGATAAAACAGAAATTACCGTTCTGGGCCGATCCCTGGACAGGGTGGCGGGAACAGTGGCGCACCACCAAGAAGCTCGGCTCACTCCTCGGGGATAGCGAGGATGTCTCTCGGAGGAAACAACTAGCCGCTGCAGCGTTTCGATCGCTCTGGTCACTATGGAGCCGGCGCAGTACCGTTGGAGAAGAACTGAGGCTTCGTCTCTACAATGCGTTTGTACCACCAGTGCTAGTATACAACGCCGGCACATGGGGACTCACGGCAGCTGCCGAGGGTGGACTCGACGCATTCCACCGCGGGCAGCTCCGTTCACTGATCGGCTTTGTCTGGCCGCAGAAGATCGCAACAACAGCACTCTACGACAGGTGCAAGGCAGAGCCGATCAGCCGCATCATCACCAGAGCTCGGTGGAGGCTATTTGGCCATATTCTTCGACTTCCAAGTGATGCCCCCGCCGTCCTAAGCATGGTCAGCTACTTTCAATGTGATGACCACAAGTGGATAGGCCGCCCTCGCATCACCCTGCCGGTGAAGCTCGACGACGACCTCCACCGAGCTGCGTGCGAGCGATTGCAGAGCCTGGAAGATCTGGAGCGCCTATCAGACGTAGCTGCAGTTCGAAGCGAATGGAGGCAGCTACTGGATATGATCTGCAAGTAGAGGTTGCGGCGATGAAACCGCGCCGTCACCTTTTTCCCAGATCACGGAAATATCGCTCAATACACTTTAAACATTCTATACACAAAGGATTTACAGCTACGTTTGTGCTTGTTGTCTTTATGTCTCCTATATCAGCTGTTTCTCTTACCATGTCCAGCATAAGCGAACGTGTGGACTGTATTTGTGCATGGGCGACTTGCACTTGCACTGTTGACGCTGCCGCGGGAATGCATATAATAATAATAATAATAAATAATAATAATTTAAATAACCGACGAGGAGACAACAGTCGTAAAATAGCAATGAAAAATATCAATTGTGCACTCATAATCATGTATAAACAATTAAAATGAAACAATTCCAGAACGTTTTCGTGTGACCATCATCAGTGGAACATCGTCACATAGTAAGAATCACTAAAACAACCAGTTATATAGCTAGACTAAGATCACCAGGAGAACGAAATGAAAATGGAGGAAAAACGAATCTGAGGAGAAGCCAGAGACTAGCGGAGACACGACTGAGAAAAATGGAGAAGGCGGAACCAGTAGTGGCAGGTGAAAGTACGGGCGCAGCAGTGAACACGTCAAGGAGAAAGAAGCGATGGCATGAGGAGATGGAGATGGAGGATGATGATGGGGATGAACAGGATGGTCAGGAGGAAAGTAAGGGTGAGCAGGAACGGGAAGTGGAGGATGAGAGTGATACGGACGAGGAGGAGTTCGACATCGACAAGAGCAAGTCTGCCATCTACAAGCATTTGGTGTCCAGTCCGGATTGTCGTAAGTTGTTTGACGATTCCTGGTTTAGTGTTATTTGTCGCGCGCGTTTCTTTAAGCAGTTGCAGGTGTTGGAAGCTGTATATATTCGCACACGTGACCCTGTTCTATGCAAGCAAAAAGAAAATGTTGTAGCACTCACGGTAACGGAAAGATCACCAGGAGAACGAAATGAAAATGGAGGAAAAACGAATCTGAGGAGAAGCCAGAGACTAGCGGAGACACGACTGAGAAAAATGGAGAAGGCGGAACCAGTAGTGGCAGGTGAAAGTACGGGCGCAGCAGTGAACACGTCAAGGAGAAAGAAGCGATGGCATGAGGAGATGGAGATGGAGGATGATGATGGGGATGAACAGGATGGTCAGGAGGAAAGTAAGGGTGAGCAGGAACGGGAAGTGGAGGATGAGAGTGATACGGACGAGGAGGAGTTCGACATCGACAAGAGCAAGTCTGCCATCTACAAGCATTTGGTGTCCAGTCCGGATTGTCGTAAGTTGTTTGACGATTCCTGGTTTAGTGTTATTTGTCGCGCGCGTTTCTTTAAGCAGTTGCAGGTGTTGGAAGCTGTATATATTCGCACACGTGACCCTGTTCTATGCAAGCAAAAAGAAAATGTTGTAGCACTCACACTTTTTAAATAATACGCACTCACCAGTTTTTGTTCACACGCACTCACAGCTGCCACATTCATCTACTGCTACCATTCTCAGATACACTGCAAAGGTTCACACTACACGCGTTATGCATAACCGCTAGCTGTGCTGCATTCTCACGCTTCTTTTCATGTTACTCTAGCTATATAACTGGTTGTTTTAGTGATTCTTACTATGTGACGATGTTCCACTGATGATGGTCACACGAAAACGTTCTGGAATTGTTTCATTTTAATTGTTTATACATGATTATGAGTGCACAATTGATAAATAATAATAATAATAATAATAATAGGCTGTTGAAGATAGTGAAAACTATTGTTCTCCTTGGAAAATGTTTTCCAATTGTGCATGTATTATTGTGCGTACAACAGATGAACATGAGACCTGATACACATGCACTATGTACACCCATATAATCTGATTTTTGTGTTCATACACTAACAAGAATGCACCAGGGATATCCTGACTTACATTATCCTTTGGTTCCAACGAATGTCCAGAATTAAGTAGATGTTCTACTACAGAAACATGACCATTCCGTGCTGCAAAGTGTAATGGTGTGCGACCCTTCTGGAAGTAGTAATGTTAATGAATACAAACCGAGTACACACAAACACACATAAACATACACAAATACACACATACACATGACGATTCACAAACACATAAAAATATGCATATGCATGAACACACACACACACACACACACACACACACACACATGCGCATGCACACATAGACACACACACACACAAATACACAACCATGCACACAACCATGCATGCGCAAAAACACACACACAGGAACAAAGAAACACAGCTAATGAGTAAAGGTAACACCGGCAATGGCATAGGGAGTTCTGGATCATTGTCAATGAAGATTTCTTTGGGAATTGATGAACAATTTCCTTGGACACAAGAATACAATTTTCACTAGTATACTTTCATGCCTGATCATCAGGTGAAATACAGGCAAAATCTACTTGTAATGAACATGGCATGGCACATGTTGTGTGTAAGTGTGTGTGCTCGTGCATGTCCACGAATGTTGAGCACACACACGCAGGCGTACACATGTGTGTGCGCGCATGAGAGCATGCCGTTTACTTTGCATAAATGTATGTAACTGCAGGTGTGTGTATGTGACGTATTTGTGTGAGCAAGGGGTACTTGTTTGTGAGTGTGAGTATGTCTTTCTCTTTCTCACTCTCTCTCTCACTCTCACTCTCCCTCTCTATTCCTTTCTTGAAATCGAACGTATTAACTATTGATCACTACGTATCAATTCTTGTTGAGCTTTGTATTATTCCCATAGCTATGCAGAAGACGTTACTTCAGTAACGTCTGGCGCTAGCCAGGGTCCACACAGCTTCAATTCCGGTAGCTATGCAGAAGACGTTACTTCAGTAACGTCTGGCGCTAGCCAGGTTCCACACAGCTTTAATTTTGTGTTTGTTTGTTTGTTTGTGTCACGCCTGGCGCTATCCCGTATCTGTCCTGTACCGTACCGTACCAGCAAAGACAGCTGGCCACAATATTTTTGTTTGTTTGTGCCATCGGCATGCCTGGCGCTACCCCGTACCTGTCCCGTACCATCAAGACTTCAAGAGTACGGTACCATTAAGAGAATGAGTATATATGCGAAGTGTATCGGGGGAATGCATTCAGTGCAGTAACATTTTGTGTGGATTTGTGTGCGAGGCCGAGATCCCACTAGCAGGCTGGCTGGGCCGCCTGTCGACCAGCCCGGGAATCGCATGTAGGCCGATAGCATAATAATTATAACTTATAGATGTATAGCAGGGAGTCGTATTATGTAAACGACTCCCTGCTGTTTGGGTAGATTTTCTGGAAAGAAATACGAAGTAGGAAGACAAGTAAATTTTAGAATGAATGTTAGTTGCCGAATAGGTGACTGGAAGCGTCAGCAAAATCATACTTTGGAAGAGAGATCCTGTCGTCTCCAAAATAATCCTGAACGGGCGAGTCAGCGCCGGTCACAGGAAATGTCGGAAAAGAGATCCCGTCGACTCGAGAACGCCCGTGATCGGCAGAGTCAGCGCCGGTCAAAGAAAAATGGAGAAGGCGGAACCAGTAGTGGCAGGTGAAAGTACGGGCGCAGCAGTGAACACGTCAAGGAGAAAGAAGCGATGGCATGAGGAGATGGAGATGGAGGATGATGATGGGGATGAACAGGATGGTCAGGAGGAAAGTAAGGGTGAGCAGGAACGGGAAGTGGAGGATGAGAGTGATACGGACGAGGAGGAGTTCGACATCGACAAGAGCAAGTCTGCCATCTACAAGCATTTGGTGTCCAGTCCGGATTGTCGTAAGTTGTTTGACGATTCCTGGTTTAGTGTTATTTGTCGCGCGCGTTTCTTTAAGCAGTTGCAGGTGTTGGAAGCTGTATATATTCGCACACGTGACCCTGTTCTATGCAAGCAAAAAGAAAATGTTGTAGCACTCACACTTTTTAAATAATACGCACTCACCAGTTTTTGTTCACACGCACTCACAGCTGCCACATTCATCTACTGCTACCATTCTCAGATACACTGCAAAGGTTCACACTACACGCGTTATGCATAACCGCTAGCTGTGCTGCATTCTCACGCTTCTTTTCATGTTACTCTAGCTATATAACTGGTTGTTTTAGTGATTCTTACTATGTGACGATGTTCCACTGATGATGGTCACACGAAAACGTTCTGGAATTGTTTCATTTTAATTGTTTATACATGATTATGAGTGCACAATTGATAAATAATAATAATAATAATAATAATAGGCTGTTGAAGATAGTGAAAACTATTGTTCTCCTTGGAAAATGTTTTCCAATTGTGCATGTATTATTGTGCGTACAACAGATGAACATGAGACCTGATACACATGCACTATGTACACCCATATAATCTGATTTTTGTGTTCATACACTAACAAGAATGCACCAGGGATATCCTGACTTACATTATCCTTTGGTTCCAACGAATGTCCAGAATTAAGTAGATGTTCTACTACAGAAACATGACCATTCCGTGCTGCAAAGTGTAATGGTGTGCGACCCTTCTGGAAGTAGTAATGTTAATGAATACAAACCGAGTACACACAAACACACATAAACATACACAAATACACACATACACATGACGATTCACAAACACATAAAAATATGCATATGCATGAACACACACACACACACACACACACACACACACACATGCGCATGCACACATAGACACACACACACACAAATACACAACCATGCACACAACCATGCATGCGCAAAAACACACACACAGGAACAAAGAAACACAGCTAATGAGTAAAGGTAACACCGGCAATGGCATAGGGAGTTCTGGATCATTGTCAATGAAGATTTCTTTGGGAATTGATGAACAATTTCCTTGGACACAAGAATACAATTTTCACTAGTATACTTTCATGCCTGATCATCAGGTGAAATACAGGCAAAATCTACTTGTAATGAACATGGCATGGCACATGTTGTGTGTAAGTGTGTGTGCTCGTGCATGTCCACGAATGTTGAGCACACACACGCAGGCGTACACATGTGTGTGCGCGCATGAGAGCATGCCGTTTACTTTGCATAAATGTATGTAACTGCAGGTGTGTGTATGTGACGTATTTGTGTGAGCAAGGGGTACTTGTTTGTGAGTGTGAGTATGTCTTTCTCTTTCTCACTCTCTCTCTCACTCTCACTCTCCCTCTCTATTCCTTTCTTGAAATCGAACGTATTAACTATTGATCACTACGTATCAATTCTTGTTGAGCTTTGTATTATTCCCATAGCTATGCAGAAGACGTTACTTCAGTAACGTCTGGCGCTAGCCAGGGTCCACACAGCTTCAATTCCCGTAGCTATGCAGAAGACGTTACTTCAGTAACGTCTGGCGCTAGCCAGGTTCCACACAGCTTTAATTTTGTGTTTGTTTGTTTGTTTGTGTCACGCCTGGCGCTATCCCGTATCTGTCCTGTACCGTACCGTACCAGCAAAGACAGCTGGCCACAATATTTTTGTTTGTTTGTGCCATCGGCATGCCTGGCGCTACCCCGTACCTGTCCCGTACCATCAAGACTTCAAGAGTACGGTACCATTAAGAGAATGAGTATATATGCGAAGTGTATCGGGGGAATGCATTCAGTGCAGTAACATTTTGTGTGGATTTGTGTGCGAGGCCGAGATCCCACTAGCAGGCTGGCTGGGCCGCCTGTCGACCAGCCCGGGAATCGCATGTAGGCCGATAGCATAATAATTATAACTTATAGATGTATAGCAGGGAGTCGTATTATGTAAACGACTCCCTGCTGTTTGGGTAGATTTTCTGGAAAGAAATACGAAGTAGGAAGACAAGTAAATTTTAGAATGAATGTTAGTTGCCGAATAGGTGACTGGAAGCGTCAGCAAAATCATACTTTGGAAGAGAGATCCTGTCGTCTCCAAAATAATCCTGAACGGGCGAGTCAGCGCCGGTCACAGGAAATGTCGGAAAAGAGATCCCGTCGACTCGAGAACGCCCGTGATCGGCAGAGTCAGCGCCGGTCAAAGGAAACGTCGGAAGAGAGATCCCGTCGACTCTAGAACATTCGTGATCGGCAGAGTCAGCGCCGATCACAGGAAACGACAGGACAGACATCCCGTCGACTCCAGAACGCCCGTGATCGGCAGAGTCAGCGCTGGTCACAGGAAACGTCAGGACAGACATCCCGTCGACTCCAGAACGCCCGTGACCGTCAGAAACGAGACAGGTACGGGATAGCGCCAGGCATGCTGATGGCACAAACAACCAAAAATATTGTGGCCAGCTGTTTGTGGCCAGCTGTCTTTGATGGTACGGTACGGTGCGGGACAAATACGGGATAGCACAAGGCTAGGCGTGACACAAAAAAAGTTAAAAAATTAAAAATAAATACCAAATAAAATATTAATCCCGTAGCTATGCAACAGACGTTAGTTCAGTATGGTTTGACGCTAGCCACTAGCCAGGGTCCACACAGCTTTGACACGTTACCAGGTTACATGCTTTCATTTCGCTCTGCAAAGAGGACCTAGGGTTGCCTGTAAAAAGACGGCAACGTCTGTAGGGATTTAAAAAAAAAATTCTACTACTACTACTACTACTGTGCATGATGAGCAAGCAAAAGGAGAGACAGTACATTTAGAAGGCGGGTAAAGATAAGACAGAGAGTGTTAGGAGGAGAAGGAGAGAAAAGAAGGAAACACGTTATTGGGAGGAGTACATGGAGCGGAATTTAAAAATCATGGGGTGTGGCAGATATGATGCTGATACTCAGAGATGATCATGTGCCCACAATCAGTCGTTGGTCTTCAAACAGCGATTGGCTGCAACCTTGAAACTTTGTAAGTTGTTCTGCAAAATGGACCAGAGAAGACTCCGGCGGGCAGCTGGTTCCTGACAGGGAAAATTGCGCGAGGGTAGGCTCGACACAGGTTGTTTCGGGAAGGGACTGGAAGTTCATTTGCCAGTTGGTGTGCGTGGGTGGATCTTCAAAACGTACTACGGGTGGAGTGGACTGTTTGGGATTGGGGCTGCTGGGGTGGCAACATCCTCTGTAGAAGGCGATGTGCATCTGGACAATGCATATTGTATAGGAGGCAAAGGTACGGTCCATCACCGATTAGGCGATGGCCACCCTGTTGGATGAGGCGAGCCAGAGTGGTTTGTGCACGGGCGGACAAAGCGCTTGTAGATCACACAATGACATCTGGAGTCCAGCACTCGAGAGGGATTCCGGAGGAAGCCGAGATACTGCGATCCTCGAATAGCCAACTTGGAAACATATACCAGATCTCTTCAAGACATTGGACTTACGAGCACGTTCGAGGTGACGCAAGTAACTCATTATCGTTTTCCAGGCTAATGAAGCTAAGGAAAAAAGTTGACAGGACAAACCTCCAGCTCTTCAACAACATTCTGAAAACTAATGGTTTCGCGAGTAAACTTCTGTACCTTCTCCTCAGGTGATATACAAGGAAGAGCAAACAAGAGCAATTACAATGAAGTATGAACTCGGATGGAGAGCCAGTTAAATTTCGGTGAAAAAGGAGAAGGATAAAAATGTTACGAGTTCTGACTAACTGTCCATCAACCACCATTTTGTCGCACTCGCTGACTGGATAAGATCTGGTTACGTTGATGGACAGTTAGTCATAACTCGTAACATTTGTCCTTCTCCATTTTCACCATAATTTTATTGGCTCACCATACGAGCTCAACTTTGCACACCTTATGAGCCGCCATGACCTATACGGCAAAACGTGCGTCATGTGGAACAACTTGTTATTGCACATAACTAGTCTATTATATTTACATGATACAGTGTAGTGAAGTTCAGTAAAATGTTGACGTTTCGGTTTGTCACAATTCGTCTTCGCGTAGCTTCCCCTTTGTTTGTTTACTACATAAACTTGAGCCTCCCAAGTTGGGTGGTTTGTTGCGTCGTCGAGTTGTAGTAAGGCCGGTATGTCCAATAGTCTTATGAAGTACTAGTTTCGTCATCATCCAGTAACTTTTGGCATTCTTTGTTGCCGTGGCGCGTAGCTCGTGCTCTTTTTCGTTGCACTTTCCTTCCCCTCTTGGACCTTTGCGAACCTGAGCCTTCCAAGTTGGGAGGTTGTTGGTTTGTGCGCCTCGGAGAAGTGTTGGAGCAAGGAGTCAGGTCGCCGAATGTCTGAGTACTCCTGGTCAGTTTTGTGCCATTTTTGCCTCAACTCTGCTGTGATAGTTGCTAGGACTTCAATGTACATAACCAGGAGTGGCTCCACAGTAGCAGAACAACTAGAGGTGTCGAGCATGCAGAGGACATGTGCTACATGCAAGGTGTTGAACAGCTAGTCCACCAACCACCGCACGGCTGCAACACACTGGACCAGATGATGTCCGACCTACCCATAGAATCATTGCTTTCTGTCTTGCCACCTCTTGACAAATCTTACCATGCCTGTCTACTTGCCGACTTCCAGATTCGTGCATCACGCGAGCCTCCCATATCAAGAACTGTATGGAGGTATCAGCATGCTGATTGGGCCAGATTCCGTCACTTCCTCAGAACCACCAATTGGACAGCTATTGCTCGGACTGATCCAGACCTGTCATGCACTGGCATCTCAGAGAGGATTCTGGAGGGAATGAAGAGATTCATCCCCTCTAAAACCCTGAAAACCTGTGCATTAGATCCTCCATGGTGGAACCCTGAGTGCACTGTTGCCACAGTGAGGAAATGACGTGCATGGAGATGCCTGAGAGATGACCCGTCTGACGGCGATTGGCAGTCAGCTTACGAAGATGCTAGGCTTTCAACGGTTGCCTGTCTCAAAACTGCGAAGAGTGCCTTCATGGCGAAACTGAGACAGAAAATGACCTCAAAGCAGCTGCCACCCAGTGACTGGTGGCACACCGTCAAGTGTGCCTCTGGCAATGGGCGCAGTCAATCTGTTCCGATATTACGTGATCCCGATGGACGTGAGTACACAGCCAGGGGCAGACAAAGGAGAATGCATGGCCCGCTATATTGCAGGCAAATGCAGTCTTGGCCAAGATGACCTATCAGCTCCCTTCCCATAATTATGTCAATGGTGCGTTTAGAGGACTTTGGATGGTGCGAGGTGAAGTTAATGTAACGTCCCTTCTGTGTAAACTTCCTGTAGACGTTTGTTGAAACTCGTGAATTTGACCTCTGAATCCATACGTCTAGAAAGCAATTCCACCGTTGTCCTCTTCTTACGCGGTAAACTTTATGTCTGGCGTCGCTGAGTTCAAAGGTGAAATTCACCAAAAAGAAAGAAGTAAAAATGAAAGGAGTGACAGGTACATGATACTAAAGGTTAGAAGGAGAGACAGTACATTAGAAGGATGGGAAGGATAAGAAAGACAGTGTAAGGAGGAGAAGGAGAGAAAAGAAGGACACCTGTAATATGGAGGAGTATGTGGAGCGGAATTTGAATGTGATGGGGTGAGGCAGATAATTATGATGCTGATACTCAGAGATGATCATGTGCCCACCCACGATCAGTCGTTGTTCTTCAA